ACTACTTTTACTTTCTCAGTAGATGGTGCTATGGTTTTGTTTGACTTTAGTCCTTGGCTGCCTTCTATAGGTCCTGATATCTGATCTTGCAGTGGCTGTGTCAGAGGGTGGGAGGGCCTGGAGGCATCCAGCTGCTGTGCTGATGTGCTCTGGGTGGAAGAGGGCCTTGCTTGTGTTAGGCACCACTGATAACCCTCCTCTCTGAGTTTCCAGTTCTGAGATTTTTAGTGTGGGTGCCACCAGCAAGCTTTCTGAGGTCATTGGCAGTCCCGCAGGGTAGAGGAGGGGTGTGCAATACAGAAACTTCTGATCTCCTTACTAGAGGTCCAGTCTAGTGGACCTCTAGTGGGTGGAGTCCTCCAGCTCCTCCTCATGTGTTTCCCTGGGTCATGTATGTTTGCCTCTACACCTTTTAGTTCTCTCATCCGTGGGCCTCTAGCTGAGCAGACAACCCACCCAACCCATTTCTTTCCACCCAACCTGTTCAGTGAAGTATGACTCTCTTTTATCGCTTCTCTGTTGCAGTCTGTGTTGATCTCTGACGTCCAAGGGTTGTTCCAGTTTCACACCAAGCCATAGGATTCTCTGGGTTTCCCTCTGGTTAACTGACAGGTGACCCTCTCAGGAGGAAAGCAAGGAACCTCCTCTGTGCAACTCTGAATCTGTCTCATGGGCAGAAGCTTCTCAATTTGATGTAATTTAATTTCTATGTGATTCTCTTGGTTTAGGCAACTGGGTAGGTCTCAAAAAAATCCTGAAAACAAGGAATCAAGGCAAGGGTTGGTGAGTAATACAGTACAGTCAGGGTCTGGCATCAGAAAAGCCTTAGCAAAGGTCTCCACCTTTTAATTTTTAAATTGTCATGAAATGCACACAACATAAAATTTAACATCTTAACCATTTTTAGATATGCAGTTCGATAGTGTCAAGTACATTCACATTCTGTATAACCATCACCAAAAACTGCCATCTGGCAAAAATGAAATTATACTCCACAGTAATTCCCCATTTCCTCCTCCCTCCAGCCTCTGCAACCACCATTCTGCTTTCTGTCTCTATGAATTTGGCTACTCTAGGTAGTAGTCAAACACATATGTGGTGATCCAATATTTGTGTTTAGGGCCTGACTTGTTTCACTTATCATAATGTCCAGAGATTTATCCATGTTTTAATGTATGTCAGAATTCTCTTCCTTTCAAAGGCTGAGTAATATTTTATTGTAGGTGAGAGTATATGAGTATGTATAGGTATCCATGTGTATATAAATTTTACATATTGTTATGTATGCATGTATGTGTACTTTTATGTGTATATATACAAATTTTGTTTACCCGTTCTTCTTTCTGTGACACTTGGGTTGCTTCCATTATTTTGGCTACTGTGAACAGGCCTTGAACATTTATGTACAAATATCTGTTCATGTCACTTATTTCAGTTCTTTTGGGTATATACTCAGAAGTGAATTGCTAGATCATATTGTAATTGTATTTTTAATCTTTGGAAGAGTTACAATATTGTTTTCCACAACAGCTGCAACCATTTTACATTCCCACCAATAGTACACAGGGTTGCAATTTCAGCAGATCCTCAGTAACACTTTTTTACTAGCCTCATAATGTAGAGAAGGTGGTCTCTAGTAATGTTTTGATGTGCATTTCCCTAGTGATTAGTGATGTTGAATATCCTTTAATATGCTGTTGGTCCTTTGTATGTCTTTGGAGAAATGTCTATTCAAGTCCTTTGCTTATTTTTAATCAGATGACTTGTTTTTGTTGTGGTTGTTAAAGAGACCTTTTATGGTTACTCTGATAAAGCAAGTTTAGCAGGTAGAAAGGCATTGGAGGCAGAAGGACCAGCAGGAGCAAAGCACAGCAATGCAGTATTCTGGCTTCCTGAGTCATCTGATGGTGTTAGACCACAGGCTCAGGTATGCGGGAGCCAGTGCATAGCTGTGTCTGCCTGCAGGGAGCTGGAGCAAGGGGACAGCAGTGAAGGCAGCTCTCCTCGGGAAGCTTTGTTGCAGGAGTGCAGATGGTCCCCCGAGATGCAGCAGGACCTCAGAAAGGCCCCTTCAGTTCTGTGGAGGGGTTGCACAGTTGAGAGAGATCTGCTAAGAGGCTGAGAAGGCAGCCTTTCCTGAGGCTAGGTTCTGAGGTCACTGTATCAACTAAAATTATGTTTGTTCAAAATAATCCCTGGAAACTTCCCAGTGCCACTTCACACTGCGTTGAACATGCCTTTCCTCACTAGTCCTATGTCCTATGTCCGCAGAAGGTTTCCCCAGGCACAGGCACAGTCTCTCTTCACCTGCAGCACAGATGAAGCAGCTGTCTTGTCTTTAGTGGCCACACCATGTGGTATCTTTACACGCTGCACTGAGACTTTGCCATGGAAGTGAGCACCCTGTGAGGGGAAGGCAAAAACCAAGGCTTCCTGAGGTATATCCGTATGGCTGCTTTGAACTGAGTAGCTGACAACCAAATACCCCACTGCAGTAGTTGCAGCAATGAAGATATTTTAGCAACTCACATGATAGTCTAGAGATAAGTGTAGCACAAAGCTAATGAAGGGATTTAATGAGACCAAGTTCCAGGTCACCCTTCACTTCTGCAGTTCTCTAGCTCTTTTCCTCATGGCCCCAGACCATGAAGTGTCACCCCTCTGCACCACAGTGTCCAGAACAGAAGGACAGAAAAAACACCTTCTTATCACTGCTCATTCATAGGGTGGGATAATCCCTCCCAGAGGCACTTCCTCTTACATTTCACCAGCCAGAACCAGGTCTCGTGCCCTTGCCTGACCATTCATGATCCTCACCATGCTGGGTAAGGGGCTGTGGCTTCTAGCTGGATCTGTACACCTCATCCCCAGAGTTGAACAAGATCAGCGTTAGTTAGCAAGGAGAAAGGGGAGTCGCTGTGCTGTAGGAAAGACAAGCACAGCCCCCTCTGCCAGAAAACTCGGCCCCCAGAACATCCACTCATGGAGACCAAGAACGTAAATCATCTCATTTTTGCCACTGTTTACTTTATATTAAATTATTTACTTCATTTCATGACTCAAGCATATGTGGGAGAATTCATACGAACTAGAGGTCTGTGGCTTAAAACGTTATGTCTTAATTTTGGAAGTGATACCTCCAGATGTCTGCATCTGGCTTTGCCTCAACTTCTGTGTATGCAGTGTCTTTAGTTCCTCTGGCCTGACTGGATTCTAGCTCTACCTATTGATCTTGAGGCCCTGGGATCTGCCTGGTTCCCTGGAGCAAGGACCTGGACCTCTGGAAGCCTCTCTCCTCCAGGTCCCAGGAACTCTGTGCCTGCAGCAAGCACACTTATATATCCCATGTATAAATGCACAAGTATATGCACACATATGTATACACATATACACAAGTATGTGTACACTATGTAACTGTATACACATGTATATATACATTTATATATCAACATGTATCACAATGACCTGTAAAAAAAAAGCCATAAGCCAGAGTACCAGAAATACATTAGTTCTTCAGAAATCGTAGAAAGAAATTAACCTCTTTGCTGTTTTTCTTTTTAATTCATCTATAATAAAGTCAACAAGGCCTGACTTTGTGGGGTGAAGCCTAACATAGGCCTCCTGGAGTATTGTGTATGACTTGTTGGTAGATATGCCTGGCTTCTTAGACTGCTCCAACCCAGACCTGAGCTGACCAGAACACTGGTTCTATTAAATCCCTGATTCTGTCCTGTTCAGGGCTGGATGCCCTCAGTTAAACTGACCCATTTAACCGGCTCTTGCAGGAACCAGGTAGGTAGGCTCTGCCCTCGATAGTGGTTGGCACCCATGAGTCCTGTTCCCTGACTCAGTGAAGGACACCTACTTCCTTCTCTTAAAGCTGAATGGAAGGTGGAATGCTCATGTGTCTTTTAGTTTATCATTGCACTCTCATGGACTAGCATTAGGTTATCCTGTTTTTAATGTTTGTGGGTTTTTTTTAATGCATTTTATTTATGTGTGTGTAGAAGAACTGGGATGTAGGCCAGAGATGCAGGGGGGAAGGGAGTTCACCAGAGACAAAATGGGGAACAGAACAGGCGGATTTACTGAAATACACTGCTGAGGGGAGTAGCAGGTGAGACAGGAGAGGTCTGCTGCACCATGTGTGGGTTAGCTCCCTAGCTGAGGATCAAACTCAGGCCATAGCGGTGATAGTGCTGTGGCTTAATCCCTAGGCCACCAGGGAGGCCCTGTCCTCTTTTTATAAAAGGATTTCTCAAGGATTCAGAACTTATAAATGCCAACTTTACCAGCTTACCAAGCACAGCACAGGCGACCTCAGTCAATGCCTAAAGAAATGCCTGTGTTCTTTCCTGTTGAGAGTGTGTCTATGCACAAGAATGTTAGCTGATGCTTGGATTTTCTTTTTTTTTAAAAAAGATGTATTTATTTATGCATACAAGAACTGGAGTATAGGCCAGAGGTGTGGGGGATGAGAGTATTCACCAGAGACAAAGTGGAGAACAGAACAGGCAGGCTGACTGAAATACACTACTGAAGGGAGCAGCGGGCAAGACAGGAGAGGTCTGGTACACCATGTGAGTAGCTCTCTGGCCGGCCGGGGATCAATCTCATGCTGCAGAGGTTGTGGATAGCTTCACAGTGCTGTGTTTAACCCCTTGCACCACCAGGGAGGCCCGCCTATGTGTGGATTTTCATGGAGACTCGGACAGAACATGTTCTGCCAACCATACTCATGGACTCTAAAGCAGTAACTGAAGGAAGAAACAAAACAAGCCTTGTCTGTTTAAGAATCACAGGGACTGCAGTTGTTTCTGTGAACAGCCCACCTTTTGGACCCAATTTCCACTGACCCTTTAGTGATTACTCCGACCATTAAATTATATATTGAATGAATTCAGTTACAAATTTTAATTAATCAGAACCCCAAACCTGGCTCAGGTCTGTTCTGACTTCATAGATCACTGCCCTGATTTGCAGTTATCTGCTCATGACCGTGGCAGTCCACTTACAGCTCAATAAAGAAGGGAAGATGAGATGGTTGGCTTTTAATTCTGGAGGAGATTATATTATATGAGAGGGGAAAGGATTGCTCTTAATTTGGTTATATTGTGCCCAGTGAAATTCTCAAGTGAACGCCTATTCTTGTGCACCAAGATTCTCGCTGCTTCTCCCCTGCTGTGGTTCATTGTGCCTCCCTTGGTCTCCTCCACCTTAATGAAGAACCAGATAGCATCCTGTTGCCTGGAGGAACTTGATAGAAGTGACACTTTCTTCTTTTTTTAGTAAGTAAATAAACATGCATGCTAAATAAAGTTGCCTTCTTGGTTAGAATTGTTATGTTTGATTTTAGGGCTAGTCCTAATCTTCAGTTCCAAAGGGGGGCTGCAATCTTAGGAACCAGGTGGATAGCCTAGGGTCAGCAAGTTTTCCTTCTCCTTTGGTAGAATCTTCATTCCTGAAAATCAGAAAGTAGCCTGTCTGGTCTGCTGTGTGTTTCTACACACATGCACAGCAGAGGTCTCACAAGCAGGCACTGAGCCACTAACCCCTTATGCTTAACTTCAATCTATTAAGTGGAATCCACTCCCCCCCCACACACACACATCATGATTTCCACCAGAGGATTGCCTGGTTCCTCATGCAAGTATAACCTCAGGCAGTCTGCCCTTTTCTCCCCTGAATCCTCATCCCTAACTCAGACTCACCTATGCACTATCCTAATAAGAGAATGGGGGTTCTAGATGACAGCATTTCCATGCGAGAACAGCTGGACTGCAGTTATATAGACAGTCACTTTTATCTGAGCTTCTTCCAATAAAAATAAAAGAACTGTATTGTGGAAGAGTGTGCTTAGGACCTCATGGTCTCTAATACCTTCTCAAAATCTTTATCAATTGTTTCTCCCTCTGTGAAATTATCTGGGTCAGGAGCAATCATAATTGCTAAAGTCTGTCAAAAACTATAAGAGTCTAAGATTTTACTCTACTCACAAGCTAGCAAGTTAGCCTGTCACAGTTCTGTGGATGCTGGCAGAAAACATGAGCCTCCTGCATCAGTGACAAAGGACTTTATTGCTCACAGCAATAGAAATAACAAGATGTCAGCATTTTATTATGCCACTTCCTGAGCAACAATTCCCACAAGATGAGGTGAAGAGGGTCAGGTAATACCTACACATGTGGTAGATTGTACTGGAGGAGAAGGAACCTGTGTGGAGGGAACCCAAATATTTTGTAATGGGCAATAAACAAGCCTGCCCTCTGCTCCTAAGAGAAGCATTATCTTTATTAAGTAGACAGTAACTCTGCCTACCTTTGCCCTGTAAAGAAACAATATCTCTATCTTCCAAGGCTGCACTTTCTTCTACATATATCTTGAAAAGTTGTTCAGAATGATAAGCAGTCAATGCCTCGCTTATCAGACAGGCACTGTCTAATATGCACTCCCATAGAGAATTGCCTCCTGACGTTGTCCTTGTCTTGAACTCACCCTTACACTCAGTTTGAAAATTCCATACACATATTTTGTGTCTACTTTGAGCAAGACCCTATGCTTAGAGCTGGGGGTAGAAAGAATAAAATGCTTCCTTTGCCCTTAAGGAACTGGCTTTCCAGTTGGGAAGACGACAGTGGACAGAAAGTTAAATTGGGTGGGATTGGATAGAATAAAGTTGCAAGGAGATGTGGAAGCATAGAGGAGAGAACCCCCAACTCAGAAGAACAAGCATTCAGAAGTTTCCTGGGGGAGTTGATGCTGAGTGACAGCTGAAGCAGGAGTAATCATTAGCTTAGCATAAAAGGATGAGAATGAGCATAGCATTTGGGATGGAATGGAAAGCAATTTGATGGAACAGGCATGTGGCAGGGGTTGGAGGGTAAGTGATGAGGCTGGTGAAAAGGTCATGATTACAAGGGACCATGGATGCCATGCTAAGGAGTTTCACCATTATCCAGAAAATCTCTGGGTAGCAGGGGATTAAGTAGAGAATCAGATGTATATGTTAAATGATCCTTTGGGCAGCTGTGCAGAGGATGAATCAGAATAGGTGATTCTGGAGACAGGAAACAGGTTACTAGTGCACTCGGGTACAATTGCGAAATAATGAGCCCCATTCTAAGGCAATGACCATGGAGTTTGAAAGTGGGTTGGAGAATAAAGGTATTACAGAGGTGGAACTGACAGGTTGTTGAGGTAAGGGAGAGGGAAGAACCCAGATGGGGCCTGTTTTGTGCTTTGGGCACTAGGAGGGCCATGGGGCCATCCCCTGCCATCTTTAGGAACAGTTCTGCATTTGGCTGTTATACAGGGCAGCCCTCCAGGGCTGTGGAGGGTGTGGAGCTGCTCTCCCAGCACTAAATGTAACTCATTGTCCATTACTGAACAGGAGATGGGGCTCTGAGCATGGACCTGGATCAGGCATGGCAGAGGCAGGGAGAAAACAGAGGATTTAAATGAGAATCAGGATCCTGGGTGGAAGCCAGCTAAGGCAGCAGTCACAGTTCATGGGGTCAAAGCAAAATTCAAGTTCAGGGCCTCCCTGGTGGCACAAAGGGTTAAGCAACACACTATGAAGGTGTCCGCAGCCTTGGCAGCATAAGTTCGATTCCCGGCCAGCCAGGGAGCTACCCACATGGCGCAGTAGACCTCTCCTGTCTCTCCCGCTGCTCCCTTCAGCAGTGTATTTCACTGCCTGTTCTGTTCCCCACTCTGTCACTGATGAATCATCTCACCGCGCCCCCTCCCATATCTCTGGCCTGTACACCTAGTTCTTGTATGCATAAATAAGTAAATCTTTAAAAAAAAAATCAAGTCCAGAAGGGAACTGATACCTCAGACTGGGAGACAGAAACTCACATGGGGTAGAGCAAACCAGGCAGACTAAAAATGTCAGGTGTTGGAAACAAGAAGGGGGATAGGCAGGCAGACAGGTGTGGGGCGCTTCTCTTGACTGGGCAGGTATTTCCCCTCTAGCTGCCTCTGCCTAGTTCAGCCTCACCATGAGTAAAGTGTCCAGAGCTCTCGGGTTCTCATTTAGATTTACTTTTCACTTTTACCTTGACCCTCAATGGATGAGGTGGACGTTCCTGAATTTGGACTTCCAATCTGCATTAGATCCTATGGGGTTTACATGGGATGCCCCAAGAATTTACAGCTGCTAGACAGGAAAAATGCCCAACAATACACACAGTGTCACCTTTAAGAGACCCGAAGAGGGAACACTGACCTCTAGGCCTGCCAGAGGAAGTTCCATGGGAGAGTGTGTATGGTAGAGAACATTCTAATTCTAGGAAATGTCACAAATGAGGCTCGAGGAGCAGGAACTTGGAAGACACAGAGAGATGGCACGTGGCATCCACTTGGTGAGGATGTGGAGCACCTGTAGGGAACACAGAAGGTCAGGAGATAGGAGACATAAAGTAAGACAAATCTCCAAAGTCCTGATACCAGATGTGGCCTGGCAGATAAAAGCCAGTGGAGAGAAAATTACTAAAGACTATATCATTGGGTTGGTATAAAGGCTAGGACTTTATATAGGGCTTATATAAAAACCCAAAAGTTTATGACATTAGTTGGAGTGATTGAACACAAACATTAGGATGGGTTAATTTGTTTAACATACAGAGAAGAGATTGATTAGAGCCAAATTGGTGGCGGGGAGGTGCTCCAGAGTTCCCCTCACTTTCCTAGGTGTGGAGGCCATCACAGGGGTAGGCCAGGCTGTCCAGCCACATTCCCTGACCCTCTCTAGGAGCAGCATTGTTCCCTGGTGTGAGCTCTGCTGGGCCCTTCCCAGCCAAGAAAGTGGCACCGTCCTGTCCCGTATCCACGCTGAGATCTCAGGTTCCTCAATTCCTTTATTCTGTGTGATGACCTGGTGGACTTCTCATAATACCAAGCTCCTTCACTATTTTACCTTCGCTTGTGGGAAAGAAGAAATGAGATAAACAGGGCTTATTTCTCTTGTTTGCAATTTTTTTAAATCTTAATTGGTACTAGCAGGTAATGAATTCCTGTAGTAGAGTGATCTTAGTCATGGTGGAAAGTGGAGACCTTATATAAGGAATATTGACCATATTTGGAGGGTCACTATGGAGCGGGGGAAAGGAACGCATGAGGAACAATAAGGCGACATCATAACTAACTGGCAGGTTTTGCTTATGGGTGTAACAAACATGAAGTAATAAAACTTTACTGTTTGAAATTATTAAGATTTGAGGGTTGTTTATTAATCTTGTCTGATATCTCTTAACTGATAACACTGAAGGTCACTGAGCTGGGACGTACTAGTTGACATTGTATCCATATCTGTTAACTAATGTACTAGTTAACATTGTATCCATGTAAACAAGCCAGTGCTTCCGTTAACAAACCAGGTAATCATCCCTAGGCCTGTCGGGGCCCAGAGGCGAAATCAGGTCTGGAGCTGAGATTTGGGTATCAGGTATACACAAATGCAGTAGATAGTGGATAGGAAAGCATAGGGGTTTAGTCTGAGAGCTTTAGAGTGAGGCTTATTTCCCTCCCTCATGTTCCTTCTCCCAAGGGTGTATGATCTGGCTCCACGTGGCCTGATGCTAAGTAGGACATCACTGCTGCCTGCCGGGTCTGGTGGTTCAGAGTTGTTGGCTTGAGCTTATTGACAGCTGCACACTCATAACGTTGCTAAAAACTTCATAAACTCTGAAGCCTGGAAATAGCCCAAGTGATTTGAGGTTTTGCTCACTTGTAAATGTTTGAGTATTGTGTCCACAAATTGCAAATTGAGTAACTCAATTTTGAGGCACAGCTGTTATTTGGAAAAGACCCATCTAGGAACACAAACTCCTTGCAAAATGATTGTGCTTCATTTTTGTCAAGTATCAGAAAATCATTAAACTGCCAAGCCATATGGCAAATGCCCACTTGAGCCGAGTGCAACAGCACACCATAATGAATCTGTTTTTGGGGAGAGAGATAGGACAGAGTCAGGTTTTTGTGATCTACAGAAAAGTAGACTCACTCTTACGCGTTTCAGCCTTCCAGAGTCCTGAGTAAGGATTTTACCTCCCATGAAAAATTCATATAAAAAATTAAGTTATGGTAGAAGTTTTCCCCCCCCCAGGTATATTTTCCCTTTCAAACAATATCCATTGAGTTTCTGCATACAAAGTAAGTTTAACTGAGGCAATAGAAACTCCTAAAAGTTCACACAGTTTCATTTCCTTAGATAATAACTTAATAAGTATTCATTAGTTATTATTATATCAGAATTAGGTTTAGCTGCATATTAGAGAAAAATAGAAAGCAATGGTGGCTTAGAAGGTTATTTCTGCCCCACGAAAATGGAACCTGGAGTTTGACCATCCAGGACTGACATGGCAACTTCAGTGTCATCAGCATCTAAACTTTCTCTTGGCTTATTCTCTGTCAAAGCTGGAATTGTTCCAATATAGCTGACATGCTTCAGCCATCACGTTCTAGACAGCAGAAATGGAAAGGGGGAGAAAGCCATGCCTTTCTTTTTTAAGGAGAATTCCTGGAAGTATCACCCAACTTCTCTGTTCATAAATCACTGGCTAGTTCTTTATCACATGACCTCTCATTGCTGCAGAGACTGGGGAATGTAGCAATATGTCCAGGTAAAGACAGGGATTCTGTTACTACAGAGCAAGGGAGAGTGGGTATTGGGAGGTTACCAACAGATTCTTCCCTACTTGAGATCCTCAGTGTTCTTCCTACTAGACTGTAATCTCCTGTGGGTTAAGGACCAGATTTTATTTATCCCTGTACCTCTAAGGCATGGGTGCAGTAGCTGGTTAAGTTGTGCTTTTCATTATCAGCACCTCTCACGCAGACCCAGGTACTTTTCACCTCCTACCTCCCTGTCTACCTTCTTAAGTCCAAGTTGGCAAGTTCACTGAAATTTGGAGCATATTTATCTTTCATTATAAAAATATATTATTTCTTGGGCCTCCCCTGGTGGTGCAGCGGTTGAGCACTGGGCTGTGAGGCTGCCCCCAGCCTCTTCAGCGCTGGCTCGTTCCCCGGCCGCCGGCGAGGGTCCCACAAAAAAAAAAAAAAATATATATATATATATATATATAATTTCTTTCATAATGATACTGAACTACCCATTCTTCTGTGTCCCATTATCAACTCTTAATACCAAGTACAAGTGATGCTTCGTGCTAAGTTGTGAAGGTTGGGGCTGAGAAGGAAGACGACAGCAGCAACACGGGGGAGGCCTCCTCAGAGCTCTCTTCCTGTGCAATGTTCCTAAGGGCTGCCAGGTTTTGACCATGGGTGACTATAAACAGGGTGGGCCTTTTTCAAACAAGATGAACAAGCATGTGGAAGCAGATGTGGGAATGGTGAATTCTGCCTTAAATATAATGAGACAATAGAGAAAGGAGCTAATGTTTCTGGAGAAGTCTCTATGGGCCACGTACTATATGAGGTGGCTCAACTCCAGTAATCCTGGTGACTGCCCTAGGAGATCCATGTGATTATCTCCATTTTCCGTGTGGCTCACTGAGGCCCAGGGGAAGGTGATTGGGCTCCTCACCAAAATGCACATGCAAATGCAAACCGTTCCCTTCCAGACATGTTGAAAGAATCTGTGTCAGTGTGTACGAAGTTTTTAGCACAGCACCCAGCCTGTCATTCAAGAAACCCAGTAACTCATCCTCAACTCCACTTCCTGCAGCAATTGAAGTTAGTCCCACTCAACTCCTGAGTGTGGAGTTGCAAGAGATCTTCCCATTCTTTGTCCTTCAACCCTTTTGAAAATTCTCAAAACTGGAGCAAGCCAGGGCTGCCTGCTTTCCTGAGAGTCTCATAATTAGTGCAAGTGCTTAATTGGCATGTTTGTTTCCTCCAAGGGGTGGCTGGTGAAATATCCTCACGCCGACAAAGGAGACTTGCTTTGCTTTTGTGCTTAGCGGCACTGTGGGCGCATAGCAACGCTGGTGAATCCCACAAACTTAGAAAGAAAAAGTGCCAGAGTTCGCATGAAGGTTGATTGCCCTGGAGAAGTTGACACACTCTCACAGATGGAAATGATTTCTCTGGGTCCTGAAAAATGTGCTCATCAACCCCACAAATACAAACCGCGCCTCTTGTTTTCTTTAAGATGAGGAGTCCGGTCAAGAGGTCTATGTAATGAAAGATGTTTGTAGAATCCATTTCCATTCTGCCTGAAGCCATCTGCTTTATGTCTCTAATAAACAGAGGTGTTTGCAGCCACTTTCCAGGCCCCAGTCCCGTTAGATGCCCTCACCACGGGAAAGGTAAATTGACTGCCTCCCCAGAGATGAGCATTAGCACATTACATCTGCAGTGACGGTGCTTAACCTTCCTGCTTGCCTTTCCTTTCTATGTCTCTGCAACGGCCTGTGACAAATGGGCCGAGGGGCGCTCGCTGTGTTAGAATTTAGTACATAAGGGGCTTGGCCAGCTTCACATTTGCCAGTAATTGAGGTGAAGTATAGGCAACAAGAAAGGCCATCTTCTGGAAAGTCAGCGAGTGACCGACCTCAGTAGGCAGAGGGGCTGTGTGGCAGCCAGTGAAGCCATCCCTGGACTTCCTGAAACAGTTCTCTAGGAGCACGTGAGAGCTCTCCAAAAGAAAAATACGAGGAAGTCACACCCCTGTTCAAAATTCTCTGCGGGCTCCACATTGCTCATAGGGTAAAATCCAGGTTGCACAGACCCCTCGGTGGCCTGCAGACCCTTCACCTTGCATCACCCATCGGTTCATGCTCACACACAGCTGCATTGACCTGCTTGCAGCTCTTGACCCTCCTGAGGTGCTGGTTTCTGGATCTTTGAAATGTTGGTCCCTGTGCCCAACACGCCCATCATTATTCTCCTTACCCGCTCAATTGTTTCATCTTTTCTGTCCCAGCTTGAGGGTCACTTTGAAAGGCCTACCCTTAAATAGGTGAGTGTGTTCATCCTATGATTGTGGTAACAAATCACCAAAGCTGTTGGCTTAAATCAACATGGTTTTCTTTTCTTGCAGTTCTGGGGTCACAAATCTGAAATCAAGCAGGGCAGAATTTCCTCTGGAGGTTTTAGGGTAGAATCTTGTACTTTGCTGGTTTCAGTTTTAGCTGCCACTGGCACTGCTGGGTGTGTGGCCTCTTCCTCCGCCTTCTAAGCCAGCAGTGTAGCATCTTTTCTCTGATTGCTGCTTTGATCCTTCCATCATTTTCTATCTGAACATCTCACCTGCTTCTTTTTTTTTTTATCTTTTTTTTTTTTTTAATTTATACAAAAACTGGGATACAGTCAGAGGCATGGGAGGGTGAGAGAATTCACCAGAAACAGCGGGGAGTAGAACAGGCAGATGGACCAAGGACACTGCTGAGGGGAGCAGTGGGCAAGACAGGAGAGGTCTGATCGCCGTGTGGGTTTCTCCTTGGCCAGGCAGGATCGAACCCTCATGCAGAGTCTGCGGACAGCTTCACAGCGCTATGCTCAATCCGTTGCCCCACCAGGGAGGCCCCTCACCTGCTTCTTAAGATCCTCATGATTAAATTGGACCCGCCTCTTTCATCCAGGATGTCCTCCCCATTTCAAGAGCCTTAGTTAAGTCACATCAGCAAAGTCCTTTTCACCATGTAACATAACATGTTCACAGGTTCTGAGATAAGGAATTAGACATTTGGGGGACCATTATCCAGCCATTCAAATTGAGGCATTATGGCCATGAGCCCTCAACCTAGTGCATGTTGCATGTTTAATTGTCCTTCCCATAGATGACTAAAAGACCATGAGGATGGGTCACATCTGCTTACCTTCCATTGTACCTCCAGTGCCCAGTAGAGGTCCTGACCAGTAGACATTAATAAACAGCTGTTGTGCGTAGCTGGAAGGCGGAGCCTTGTCAGAGATGTTCTGGATAGTGTCTGAAAACATGCATTGCCACATCTTTGAAGGACCATGGTGGACCCTAGAAGGGGAATTTGGAAGTGTTCACTGGCATCTAGCCTGACAAAGTGGCAGCTGGTGACCTCCAGGTCTCCAGGGAGAGCAATGGCCTTGGAGTCATTTATTTCTGCCTTGATTTTTATTATTTCCTTTCTTCTACTGGTTTTAGGGTTTTTTGTTGTTCTTTTTCTAGTTCTTTGAGATGTAAGATTAGGCTGTTTCTTTGAGCTCTTTCTTGTTTCTTGATATAAGCCTCTATTGCTCTATATTTTCCTCTTATTACTGCTTTTGCCGCATCCCATACATTTAAGAAATTGGAGTCCTCCTTGTCGTTCAACTCAAAGTATTTTTTAATTTCTTCTTTAATCTCCTCATTAGTCCAGTGGTCTTCCAGTAGTGTGGGTTTCAATCTCCATGAGGTGGGAGGGTTCCTTACCTTCTTTTTATGGTTTATTTCTAGTTTGATGCCTTCATGGTCAGAGAAGAGGGTTGGTATGATTTCAATCTTATGTATCTGTTGATGTTTGTCTCATGTCCCAGTATGTGATCGATCCTGGAGAATGATCTGTGTGCACTTGAGAAAAATGTGTACTCAAATTTTTTTGGGTGTAGTGTTCTATAGATGTCTGTTAAGCCCATGAGGTCTAGATCCTTATTTAGAGCTTTAGTGTCCTTACTTACTTTTTGTCTCGTTGATCTATCCATTATTGATAGTGGTATGTTGAAGTCTCCTACTACATATGTATTTTCTCTGATGTCTATTTTCAGGATGATAATAGTTGTCTGATATATTTTGGTGCTCCTTCATTTGGTGAGTATATGTTAATGAGTGTTATGTCTTCTTGATGTATCGTCCCCTTGATCATAATGTAGTGACCATCTGGGTCTCTTTTTACCATTTTGAGTTTGAAATCTGTTTTACTGATGCAAGTATAGCTGTTTCTGCCTTCTTTTTTAGTCCATTTGCTTGTAGGATCATTTTCCATCCTTTTACTTTCAGTCTATTTTTTTTAAAGATTTATTTATTTATTTATATAAGCACTGGGTATAGTCAGAAGCGCAGGAGGGTGAGAGAATTCAACAGAGCCAGAGCAGAGAGCAGAACAGGCAGAGTGACAAAATACACTCTGAGGGGAGCAGTGGGCGTGGCAGGAGAGATCTGTCGTGCCATGTGGGACCCTCGCCGGCAGCCCAGGATCGAACCGGCGCTGCAGAGGCTGCCCTGGTAGTGGCTGGATCACCCCTGGCACCTAATCGCTGGATCCCCTTCTGGTTCCAACTCAAGACCAGATGTGGGGCCTGGCTGGTGCATACTTTTTGGCTCACCTCTGAGTGTAGGGATAGCCCTTTCTCAGTTCCACACAGTTTTGGTGAGGTCCAGACTCAAAGCTCCCAGTTTTAAGGATGGCTCATCTGGAAGGCACTTCCCTGTGTCCTCAGACTGCCTCAGTGGTGGCTGGAAACCCCTCTGGGCTCCAGCCAGCAGCCAGTGGCAGAACCTGGTTTGTGCGGGATTTCAGCTTACCTCTGACTATGGAGTGGGCCCTTTCTCAGTTCCACACAGCTTTGGTGAAGTCTGGAGGCAGAGCTCCCTGTCTTAAATATGGCACATCTTGGGGTGGGATCTTAAGTGCCTCTGGAAAGCTAGAAAGGTCTCTGGTAGGCCCAGTTCTTGACTGTTTGAGACAGAACCCCGAAAAGTGATAGCCATCTGAAAAAAAGAAACCTTGGTCAGGAATAGTCACTTATCCACACAACTTTTCCTAAGCCCCTGTGCTGAACACAGTGCAGGAGTTGAAGGGACCAAGATGAATTTAAACCACCCTGTAGGAATTTACCTTCTAAATTGGGGAAGAACACCACGAAAAGAGGTGACAGTTTCTGTGGTCAGTGAAAGAAGAGAGTAATAAACAGTGCAGGAAGGGGTGTTGGGTAAGACTAGGAGGATAAAACCTTGAAGGCAGGGTGATGAGGGTGTCGCAGGTGGTCGGAACATTTGCAGAATTGAGGAGAAAGGAAGCCGTGTGTTGTTTCCGAGGAGTCGGATAAAGTGCTGTCTGAATGAGTGTAACTTAGGTGGCAGCAAACTGAAAAGGTGGCAGGCGCCAGAGGTAGAATCTCTGTCTTATCCCCAATTTGATGATAAATTCCAAGGAGGGTGTGTGCCTCCTTTCTCAACTTGTTATGTCCTTCAGCAGCAATAATTGTTCAGTCGATGGACCTCCATTAAATGCTTATTGATGACAAGCCTTTCCCAATAAACAGTCTCCCACACTCACTTTGTCTCGCCAGAGATTATTAGATGAAGGGCAGCTGAACCTCAGCTGAACCTCCTCATGGCATCTGGCCTTCTGTCTGATGAGATTTGCACTCTAACCACTGCCTGGTTTATTCCCCTGGAGGGCCCTGGAGTGAGTCCATTTCAACCCTATCATTGTATTTCTCTGGGCTTGGGCTTGGGCTTGGGCTTGGGCTTGGGCTTGGGCTTGGGCTTGTGCTTGGTCTTGGGCTTGGGCTTGGGCTTGGGCTTGGGCTTGGGCTTGGAAGGGAGTTTAGCTGAAACAGATTGGAGTGTACATGTGATTCAGGTGCATTGGCCTGAGTAGGGCAGGTGCATCCACTACCCAGGATGCAGCTCCAGCAGGAGAAGTCACTGTCACAGCAGTGTGGCTCAGTGTGCCTGGGACAAGGACAGAGAAGAAAGACATTTATTAGACATCATTTATTCTCCTTGTCATCATCGCACCCCATTGTCGTTGATGCCAACATTCAAACAAATGCTCTAATTTACAGTTTCTGGGACCTTTTGGAAAATGGATCAAAACCCCAGGTTACCTGAGATGCTGCAGTTACACATTTTAATGATTCTTAAAAACTTGTATTTTGTCAAAATGAAATAGAATTTTGAAAGTTTTCTTAATAGTTGTGAAAAAAGCAAGCCTCTTCAGATACACTCATCACATCTTCAGCTCTTATGAATGGCTCAGCAAACTCTGCAAATAATATCTCATTAAACCATCTACCTTCCCTGGGAAGGACATAGCAGCAGCAAGTTGCAGCAGGAAGAGTAGTATATGGGTTACCCGCTGTCTCAAAGGAACCTTGAAGAAACCACAGCCCGCTTAGACTGAGAGGTTTTTTTTTGCTTGTTTGTTTGTTTGTTTGTTTATCTTCATGCTATAGTTCAGAATTAGGCCTTCCTGCCACCGGATGCCATTCCACTTTTCAGCTATTTCATCTTTACTGAGCCCTCCTCTGGGCCAAGCTTTGTGCTTGGAACTGAGATCCAAAAACAAGGAAGATGTCACTCTTGCTCTTTAAGGATTTTCCTTCTATGGTGTATATGAAAGATGCATAAGCAGTTTTACCAATAGAACATGGCATGTGATTTACAAAGGTTAGGTGAGAGATTGCCTAACTCAAGGTAGTCCACAGTAAAAATTGTATGCCTAGCTCTGTGGCAGACACTAGATTAGCTAATCTAATTCCCAATTCCCTTTCCCTTGCTGTTCCTCTGGAGAGGCTGCAAAACTAAATATTTGTTTTCACAGTCTCCCTTAAGCTAGATGACAATCGACCTCGTTCTGGTCAGTGAGACAGAAGTATTTAAACTCTACGGGGGAGGTAGGAGGGAATCTGAGAAATTCTGTGTTCTTGATTAAGAGGGACAGCCATTCTATTATAGCTTCTTATTCCTCCTTGTCTATAGTATCAATCATGATGGCTGTAGCTACAGCAGCAATCTTGTGATCATGAGGGAAAAGCCAAGAGAATGACAGGTCATTTTGAGTCAGTGATCCGGTGCCAGCAACTGCCTACCTCTAGGTGTTTTGTCATGTGAGAAACAAACTTCTATTTGTTAAAGCATCTGAGGTTAGACTGTGGGACTTGTGGCCAAATGCATCATGAACTAATGCAGGCAGCAAGCAGGCAGTCAAGATACAGTGATTGAAGTGGTAAATAATGTGATCACCTAAGCCTAGTGTTAAGACTAGTTTGTTATGTGCTAGAGGTATTCCAGTTGGAAGAAACTGAAATAGCATGTACAAAAGCAAGAAGCTATGATGCGTGCACCAAGAAGCCACAGCAAGTAGTTCATTGTTACTGAAGTGTAAATTATCAGACAGGCAATGGTTGGGTACAAGTCTGTAGAAGCAAACAGTAAAGGACAGGTTAAAGCAGTTTTCTTGGACACAAAGAAAGTTCCAAGCTCCAGTGACAGAAACCGTTCATATACCCTGGTACTGGAGAATTATAGCTAAAGGAGTAATGTGAGGAATGAGAGGAAGTGAATGCATTACTTCTGATAGTCACTGTATTTATTATCGCTGCAGAGCAAATTACCCAAAACTTTACAGCTTAAGCGAATGTATGTGCATTGCCTCACAATGTCTGTGGGTCAAGAATCTAGATGTGTCTTAACTGGTTATTTTACCTCAGAGGCTCTTACAAGGCTGCAGTCAAGGTATTCACAGGGCAACAGTCTCATCTGAAGATTTGAGTGGGGAAACATCCACCCCACATTCACTCACATGGTGGATAGCAGGATTCATTTCCTCATGGCCCATTGGCATTGGCACCAGAAGTCTCCTTCAGTTCCCTTCCCCATGGATCTGTCCATAAGGCATCAGACATGTGGGAGCTGACATTGTCAGAGTGAGCAAACAATAAGGCGAAAGAGGGAAGCCAGAGGTATTTTCGTGACCTTCTCTCAGGTGGAAAACCACTCTTGTATTTTGTTCATTCAAAGCAGTTAGTGAATCCAGGTCCTGCTCAAGGGGAGGAGACAACAGTAAATACTAGAAAGTAAGGATCATTGGGAGCCATTTTAGAAGCTTGCAACCACTAGCATCCCACCACCTTCTTGTCCTCGTCCTCCCTTTTTGTGGTCAGCAGCAGCAGCAGCATCTTCATCATTATCATCACCATCCCCAAAGCCACAGTGATTATTAAATATTTGTATGCACACATACTTTCTCATACTTAGCTCATTTAGCCTCACAACAATCCTGTAAGACTAATATCAACATTTTTCATGTGAGGAAATGAAGGCTCAGAGAAGGAATGTGATTTGCTTACTGGTCACACAACCAGTAAGAGGTAGAACTAGGAGTCAAACCAATGCCTAGTTAGAGTGGAACTCTTTACCACTGCTCTCAGAGGCAGCATCTCAGAGGCGACAGGAGCCAGGTCTGCAGCCTTCCCTGGAACCCAGGAAATGTTCTGCCTGCCTTTAACCTCACCCCAGGGCTGAAGGCCACAGAGTAAGGAGACAAAAGGATGAGCTGGGCCCTCTCAAAATAGCTGGGCCCAGATAAAGGACAAAGGGTGAAGTCAGAAAAGATTTCTGGATAAGTTAATAGCCCTATAACAATATTTATTTCTTGCTTTAATAACTGCACTGCAGTTATGTAAGAAAATGTGTTTGTCCTTAGAAAACACATGCTGAAGTACTTAGAGGGAAAGAGATATTATGTCTATAACTTTTCGCACACATTTCAGAAAAGAAGTATTTATAAGTCTATACAGATTGTATGTGTGTGGGTATGTGTGCATAGAAAGAGAATGAATGATAAAGCAAATATGGTAAAATGTTAACATTTGGAGAATCTGGGTAAAAGGTATAAAGGAATTCTCTCTGTAAATTTTGCAACTTTTTTTGTAAGTCTGAAATTATTTAAAAAGTAAGTTTTTAGGGCCTCCCTGGTGGCACAAGGGGTTAAGCTCTGCACTATGAAGCAATCCGTAGTCTCTGCAGCACAAGTTCGAGCCCCAGCCAGCCCAGAAACCCACATGGTGAGGCAGACCTCTCCTGTCTCACCCGCTGCTCCCCTCAGCAGTGTATTTCAGTCAGTCTGCTTGTTCTGTTCCCCACTCTGTCTCTGGTGGGTCCTCTCACCCTGCGTCTCTGGCCTGTACCCCAGATCTTGTATGCATAAATAAATAAATCTTTTTTTTTTTAAAAAAGTAAGTTTTTAAAAAGTACCTGTCTACTTTAGGACTTAATGAGTTCTACTTGAACTGTGAGCGATGACATTTGGGAGTCTTCAATATATCCTTTTGACCCTAATGTGACTCCTTTGAATCCTGAGAGAGTTTAAAGGTTATAAGTAGAACATGGTCTCTGGGGTCAGAGGACTGGGCTCTCAGTCCTGGTCCTGGTTGCTTCTAAAATTTCTAAACCACATAAGTAGCCATTCAAGGTTGTTTAAAGGATTTTGTGAGATGAGACTTATACCTTGGTTTAGTGTTTAGCACAATTTCTGGTTCATGATGAGCTCTCCATAAATGTTATTATTATCATTGTCTCCTCCGTCATCACACCTGTGAGAAGTAATGACCTGGGTATATTCAGGCACTAATTTAGACAGTTCTCTTGGTGTCAACTCCCTGACATGAGTTCTTGTCCTCATAATGGCAGGGTGGCCACTGCGGCAGATGTGGATGTACCTGAGAAGATGAAGATTCGAATCCCTGTGGTACTCCTCGCCTGTGGCTCCTTCAACCCCATCACCAACATGCACCTGCGCTTATTTGAGGTGGCCAGAGATCACTTACACCAAACAGGTCAGTCATGGTACTAGGATGCAGTGGAAGAACTGGCAGCTTGCACTTTGTGGGACTTTGCTGGTTGATATCATCACCATTATTAAAATTGCTTGTTTTGTTCACTCACTTATAGCATAACTGGTAGCCTGCATCTCCTCTATCATATTCATTAGGCTAATACCACTTGGCCATGTGGTATGTGTATAAGTCATATCCCCAGTCATAGAGTTGAATGCTTCTTGGATTCATCCTGCCCATCTCATATTATCCGTGAATGCTAAAGACAGTGGTCACTCTAGTACCTGTGTCTCAATCAGGGCACCCTCTCAGTTGCTCCCAGCATCAGGCTACACAGCCAGATAAATAGGTAGCATAGCATGTGTCTGTGAGAGCTCCTGCTACTCTTCAGTAAGTAAGCATACATTCTGTAATCGGGAGTTGACATTGTCTTCTTTGAAAGACTAGATCTTAGAGGGTAACAAATTAGCATTCTTATACATAGGCATTTTCAATACCAATGGTATGACTTTGCCAGAAATATTTAATCAGCTGGAAATATTTAATCTGGAAATGTTTCATCTCCTTGACTTTCCATTTCATTATTAAAAAGTGAAATGGCATTTTGAATCTGCATGATTATTTCTAAAGAATATAAGTCATTTATATTTTGATATCAGGTATATATGAAAGTATTTATTAGATTTGTATATTTTGTTTATTCCTGTATGTGTTTTATATTTTCATATTGTTCAAAAACGTTTGCCTTTAAGGGCATCTTTTGTACACCAGAGTCAATTCTTGTTTATTTTTAATATATAAAAAAAGAATTTGATTAATATGTACATTATTTCTTCAAAGAAATTACATACAAATGTTTATTTATTTTAAAGGCAATTTTTTGTTTATAAAGTGTAATTTTTTATTATTCAAAGACAAAAAGTAAGTGTCTAGCCTTACTAAATATATAGCTCTTACAAAAAATAAAAAGTCCAAACAATGGGTCAGTGAACATTAGTGGGCAAAATACCAAAGAGGAAGTGTAACTAACCATTAAACTTGGGGAAAAGTGCTCAATATCATTAAATCAATGAAAATGCAAATAAAGACATGATGAAATATCTCAAGATTTGTGGTGATTAGCACCTTGTAGCGATAAACAAGGTAAATACCACAAGGACAGCTACTGTGGCTGCTTGAGCACCACAAAATTGCCACCATCTGTCACCAAACTATAGTTGGTGTTTAATAAATATTTGTTGTGGGAGTAAATAGTTTTAGCCTAAGAGATTAGCAAAGATTAAAGATTGACAAAATTCAATACTTCTAGGGAGGGAGGGAACCATATTCTCATGTATTTCTGGTGATGAGATAAGTGAGAAAGCATTCATGGAGAGCAATTTGGTATAACTTGACAAAAAATTTAAACTCTGCACCTATACCCGAAATGAGGAGAAAAATCAATCAAAACTGAACCAAAACTGCTACAAATGTTTGAATTCACAAACAAGGACTATAACTATATGCTCTATATTCAAAAATTAAATAGCAATAAGGGCCTCCCAGGTGGCACAAGGAGTTAAAACGCAGCCTATGAAGCTATCCACAGCCACTGCAGCATGAGTTTGATCCCCGGCCAGGGAGCCACCCACATGGTGCAGCAGACCTCTCCTGACTCACCCCCTGCTCCCCTCAGCAGTGTATTTCAGTCAATCTGCCTGTTCTGTTCCCCATTCTGTCTCTAGTGAGTCCTCTCACCCTCCATACCTCTGACCTATACCCCAGTTCTTGTGTGCATAAATAAATAAATCTTTTTTAAAAAAATTAAGTAGCAATAAGCTAAATATAAAAAATACTCAAATCAAAAACCTAGAAGAGAAAACCACAATATATGAGATGAAAAATACTCTGAATAGGATTAACAATAGAATAGACATTGCAGAAGAAAAGCTTCACGAACTTGAACATCTAACAGTAAGAACTATCAAAAATGTAACACAAAGAAGTAAAAAAAAATTTTTTTAAAGAAATAAAAGTACATCAGTTAGATGTGGGATAATTTAAAGCATCTTAATATAGTTGTAATTAGAATACCAGAAGGAAAAATCAAAGAACATGAAAAAAAAATAGTGACTGAAAGTTTTCCAAATTTGATGAAAACAGATTTTATCAAATAACAAATTACAAGCACAAAAATGCATGAATAAAACAATTCCAAGGTATGTGATTATCAAATTTTTCATAACCAGTGTTAAGGAGAAAATCCGAAGACAGAGACAGAAAAACAAAGGTAAGGATGCCAACAAATTCTTGTCACTGAATTCACAAAAGGGAATTCAATGAAAAACATCTATTTTTAGCACTCATTGAAAAACCTGTCAACCTGGGATTCTGTGTCCATTTTATAGCTGTTGAAATATTTTTCAAAAAGAAAGGTAAATATAGACATTTTAGATATACAAAAGCTGAAAGAATTCACCACCAGTAAGACCACACCATAAGAAATGTTCAGAAGGAAAATGATATCAGATGGAAAAATGGACCTACAAAAAGGAAAGCAGAGCACTGGTAAGCACATGGGCTATGTATTTTTTTTTCCTATTACTTAAATTTCTTTAAAAGATAATAATATAAACAAAAATAATAATAATAGATAGTAATATATAACATAATAGCAACAATAAACAGTATATTATATGTAGAAGTAAAATACTTGACAGCAATGTCATAAAGTCTCGAAAAGGAGAAATGAAAAAACACTACTGTAAGGCTCTTATGCTATAGATGAAGTGGTATAATATCACTTAAAAAGGCTGTGATAGGGCCTCCCCGGTGGCGCAGCGGTTGAGCGCTGGGTTGCGAAGCTGCCCTCAGCCTCTGCAGCACCGGTTCGATCCCCGGCTGCTACCCGGCCACCGGAGGAGGGTCCCACATGGCGCGCAGACCTCTCCTGCCGCCCGCTGCGCCCCTCAGCAGTGTACTTCGGTCCTTCTGCCTGCTCTGCTCCCCCGCTCTGGCTCTGGTGAATTCTCTCACCCTCCCGTGCTTCTGACTGTACCCAGTGCTTGTATAAATAAATAAATAAAAATAAATAAATAAATCTTTAAAAAAAAAAGGCTATGATAAATTAAAGATATATATTATAAGCCCTACCACAACCACTAAAACAGACAAAAACAGTTATAACTAATAAGCATGCAAAGAATTGAATTGAAATTTACTTAGTTAATCCAAAAGAAAAAAAAGAGGAAATGGTGATCAAAGAATAATGTAAGAATTGAAGGCAAAAAACAAAAAGATAGAATAAAACCTAATTACATCAAGAATTACATTATATAAGATAGTCTAACAATTCCCACTAAAAAGCACACATTGTCAAATCAGATAAAATAAACTGGACCCAATTACAACTTTATAATGCTTATAAGAAGTATACTAAATATAATGACACAAACAGGTTCAAAATAAAAGGGTGGAAAACTATCCCATACTGACATTAATTAAAAGAAAGTTGAAACTGCTATAGTAATATAAGAAAAAAGAGATTTCAGAGTAAAATATATTACCTGGAATAAAGGTCATTTTATAATTATAAAGAAGTCAGTACTTTAAGAGGGTATAATAATCCTACACCATTTTCCATTTCCTAAAAGAATTTCAAAATTTAGAAGAAGTAAAAACTTACAGAACTGCAAGGAGAAATAGACAAGTCCACAATTACAGTCAGATATTTCATTTTTCTTCTCACTAACTGATAGAAAAAGTATACAGAAAATTATTAAAGATACAGAACACTTGAACAACATTATCAACCACTTTGACCTAGTTGACATTTATAGAGCACTTGACCAAACATCCTCTTAATACACATTCCTTTCATGGACACAGAGAACATTTACCAAGATAGACCATATTTTGAACCATAAAATAAGTCTCAATAAATGTAAAAGCATTGAAATCCTATCTCTGACCATGGTGGAATTGAATTAGAAATCAGTAACAGAAAGATCTCTGGAAGATCCCCCAATTTGAAATAAAATAGTACACTTCTAAAAACCCAAAAGAAATCAAAATGATAATCAGAAAATATTTTTAACTGAATGAAAAGGAAATTAGGATCTAGCTAAAACTTTGACGTGTTGCTAAAGCAGTACTTAGGAGAATTTTACAGCACTGAATACCATACTAGAAATAAAGGTGTCAAATTAATAAATTCAAATTCAGTCTTATGAAATTAGAAATAAAATATCAAATGAAATATAAGCATAAGAAACTCATGAAGAGCAGAAATCAATGGAATAGAAAACAGAAGTATATTAGAGAAAATTAATTAAACCAATAGCTGTAACTTTGAGAAGAATCAATGAAATTGATTATCAGGAATAAAAATTCAATTTTTTAAATTTTATAAATATTTAAAAGAGGAAAGATATAAATTGCCATTATCAGTAATGAGAGAGATGACATTCTACAGATTCTGATACTAAAAAGATAAAGAAACATTATAAACAACTTTATATCTATAAATTTGACAGCTTAATTAGATTAGAAAAATCCCTCAAAAGACACACTACTAAATGAGAATTATTCTGATTCAAGAATTAATTTTTTAAAGGAAAAAGAAATGGTTAATCTAGATAGCTTTATATTAACTAAAGAAAGTTAATTTTTAATTTAAAAACCACTCCACAGAGAATTTTGGGAAGGTGGAAGAGTAAGAAGCACCAGGAGTCCCCAGTTAGACAAACTTGCTGTAGCATAATCTATCTGATATAATTATTTTGGAACTCTCAAGTCTTTTGAAGACATGTAACTTCCAGGGGGAAACATGTAAATTAAGGTTAATTTCTGCTTCCCTTCCCCCTCTTCCAGCAATACAACAGGCAGATGTACAAGTGTTCCTGGAGCAGCTTGCACACGCAGCCAGATTGTTCAAAAATCATTATCCTCCAATATTGAGGACTGGTATTCTGATCACTGGTTGCTGCCTCTGATCACATAGGTGCAGACAAAGATGTGGG